TAGCCGAAACTAGTCGTGTAAGTTCCTATGTAATCGAATACTCGATGAGGAACATTAAATGATGTTTTAATCTTTTAACATTATTATAATTGTGATTGACGGTAAATTTTTAATATATTTTTAATATGATGAATCACAATATGACGCATTTACAATATCTTAAATTTTCTGGTTGAATAAGAAATTATGGCAACACAAAAAGATAGAAAAACAATTTCCATAGAAGAAAAACTCTACTACAGCATACTGATAGACACATGCAGACTTTTTTTCCTTGGTGAAAAACTTGGGTTATCAATATCAACTCTGAATACAATAGGGGGAAAAAGACATTCATGAAGTAAATATATTCCTCCTGTTTGTGGGAATTATATATGTTGTAAAAATGGCCCTACATTGCCTAATAATTTACCTACATTATTTGTTGGGTATTGAGTTTAAGTACAAAGCTTGATTTTTTTGTTTTCCTACAATTTCCCACACTTACAGCACTTTTTATTATTCTCCAGAAAAGTGTAAATGTGGGGTTCCATTGAATTCGATCTTCACCACACTTTCGAAGCTATTCTTTATTATGATTTTGTTCTATTTTCTGGTGGTCTCTAGCTTGCTTCTTTACAAGATTCTAATAATATTTTCATTTCTTTTATTAAATTAGAATCAAAACAGATCAGTAACTGATGTGATTATTTAGTTTCAATCCCCCTCCCCTCCTGATATCTGCTATGTCGTTTACCAGTACTCCAACACTGAAGCTGTCAACACCAGATACTCTCACCATTGTGACTGGTGGGTCAAACAGCTTTCCATATTCCACATCTTTCCAAGTCATTTCAATAGCCCCACTGTCATTTGATGAACAAGGTGTAAAGAGGTCCTTCACAGTGACACTAGGATCTGTACAGGATGGCCCACTGACATGCCGAAAGTGAGTAGCAGTTGTAATTTCTCTTATAGTCAGCATCAATGCATCTTTTACTGCATTCCTAATGTCAGCACCAGAAAACCTGTGACAAAAAGATACAAGTGTGTACAGTGGATTTCTAACAGGTACAAATACCTGGTTCTGAAATCATGTGACAATGGGCCAAACAATACTTAGTGAGTGAGTTTGTTTGTTTGTTTGTTTGTTTTTTGTTTTTGTTTTCTCTCTCTCTCTCCTTCTTCTTCATGAATTGCCTACTGTTAGAAGCACATACAACCACAAGCAGGGAACATATTGGTGTACTGATGCATTTAACCTTGACCATTCAGTTGAGCTCATAAACCTCCAAACATTTTAGACCCTGACATTAGTAGAAGATGAAACAGAGTGGTCAGTTGGCATGGCAACCAATGGACCACAAATCAAATTTTCAGTTATCCATTTCACAGCAGCATTGATTTTGAAGCACTAAATACCAAGTTATTTTGTTATCAATTTGTTTTAAAAACTGCTTGTCACAAGGAATTTCTTGCACATTCTTTTGAAATTATCAGCAAGACCTTGAAGTGGTTGTAGGATTGCACTGCCATGCATGCTGGGAAGTTAATTTAATTAAAAATGTTATATTTCTTCCAGACTTACATCCTTTTCAAGACAATCTATTAGGTGGCTGAACCCAATATACCAATTGTAATTGCTAAAATATTCTTTCATACCCTAATATTTATGTTACTTGTCTGTACTGAAATAAGTGAGAATTATTACATCTAACAAAAAAGTGGCAAAGCAGAAAAGCAAATTCCATGCCTCATGGTCATAAAATTCTTTAAAATTAAAAACTAAATTAAATAAACATTGTATTCCCATAGCTGACATAGCTCAGTCAGTATAGTGACTGGCTACAGACTGGACGACCTGGGTTTGATCCCTGACGGGGGCAGAGGAATTTTTCTCTAGCCTTTGCGTCCAGACTGGCTATGGGGCCCAACCAGCCTCTTCTACAATGTTTCCTTTCCTTTCCTTTCCTTTCCTTTCCTTTGCACAGCCTCAATACACAGCCTGTGCCTAGGAGTGCCACACAAGACAGGAGCTTAGTATCAAAACTGAGTAAGAAATGTTCAGTCAACTGTGGTCTGGAATTGCTTCTACAGAAAGTTACAAAGAGAAGTATGTCTGTCCATCTCCTTGTTTCATTTTCTGAGTTTTTATTAAACATGATATGGTGGTTTATAGCTGATTGGCGAACTACATTATGGTCCATTACTGAACATACATTACACTGCCAAGAGGCATAAACAATTTTTCTTAAATTTCATCAAATTTACAAATTCAAAAATTGTTTCAAATTAAGGTAACTTTATAACTAGAGGTATATATTTTAAAGTACCATTTCTTTGTATGATGATTTATTTTTGAGAAATCTCAAGTTCCTTTTGAGCTTCAAGTAGGAGTTATGGAAGATCAATACAGACCGACTATCTCTGATGCGCCTTTGGTACTTGTACCAATTATGCCACTTTATTCTAGAGTAATATACATACAATTCTGCGCTCCCGGCCGCCCATTCGAGATCCGTATTTGTGAGAGTGTGTGGTGTATCTCTCAAATGCAACTTGAACATCTCGATTCTGGCATTCTTTCCATGAAGACGAATATAAATTCTCTTCTCAAAGATTCTTCGAATATTAGCGTCTAATACCCAAGGGATATTAGTTGCCCCTAATACTAGTATTCCATCATTATTTTTGTCAACACCTAAGAAGAAAGGAAAAGAAATTGTTTCTTCATAAATCAATAAAAGTCCCACAAGGATATGAGTCCTACAGCAGGCATGACCAAACCACATGCTTCAACGTCTTGGAAGGGCTTCATCGCCTCCACTGTGTGGCTCTAAGTCACCAGTACAGTGTTGTTAGCTTCACTATGCCGCAAGTTCTAAGCTCTTTTATTGGCTTAGGCTCCGCTGTTTGGGTTGAAACATTGTATGACTGCTGTGACTTTGAAGCATGAAATTTGGCGACATCTACTACAGTTCACTTCTCTGAATTACTTACTGATGCAATCATCTGTTATTTACAAAGTAAAGAAACGCCTTCTGATGTCTACACTTTTATCAAAAGCACTCACAATCTAGTCACTCAGTGTGTGCCTCAGCCAGCCACTTTGCTGTATTACACGCATACTATTCAAACTAACATCACGTGCTATCTATCTAGAAGATTTTGTTCAAAATGTTAATGCTCATTTGCCATGTGTCTAGCACCAATACAACACGTCACTTTCCTTTGAGTAAAGACACCTACTCTCCTAATCATAATGCTGTTCCGAAAAGTGAAGCAGTTTTTGTCTGTCTTAAATTTTCCATTCTATTGATGCTGCTGAAGTTTAAATTAATTTTTGTTTGTCATGTCAGCTTTCTATACAGCCATCAGCTACTGACATCTAACAAAGAAATAAATTGAGTAAAACCTTTTAAATGTCACAATACAGAATATATTACATTAAGGTAACATAATTACAGGTGGCTCAGAGGTTACTGGACATGGGCATTGAATGTGCACTATTTGTGTATCAAGCAATTGTTTTAAAATACTGTACCGTTCATCTGAACCAGAAACTCAGTTTTGATTCTTCTAGCAGATTCATTGTCAGAGCGTGAAGAACAAAGTGAATCAACTTCATCAATGAAAATTATACTTGGTTTATGCTCTCTTGCCAGTTCAAACAGATTTCTTATAAGTTTCTCAGATTCTCCAACCGACTTGGTTACCAGGTCTGAGGCTGAGACTGAGAAAAATGTGGAATTGTTTGCCTCTGTTGCAACTGCCTTTGCTAAGTGTGTCTTTCCTGTTCCTGGGGGCTGAAAAAAGATTAATGTGATCAAAGTTCGCCATGGCAGACTGCACAAACTTTCTAGTATTTGTAAATTATACAAAGAATACCACCACGTATTTTGCAATGTAAATACTCCAGAATGTGTAGCAAAACTAACAAACTATAATACAGAAAATACTGTTTACCATACTGGAGAACATTATGTTCCAATTGCATTCCTTATATTTTGCATACGTAACTGGCTGTAAAGTTTATTTATAGTAGACTCATGTTTGTATCATAATTTTCAGTAGATGGTCACATTTCATTATGTGTGTTATCTAATAAAGTGTACACAATATGTCATGCCATGGAAAAACTGCCAACATGACATTAAGAAAAAATACTCTACTGCTTTTTGTAGCAAATGAACCCGATGATAGAATTACATAAATGTACCTCCTGCATACGAGTCTGCGTATTCATTCAGGGGCTGGTTTGTTGTGAAAAAAGTGACAACAAAGTCCTTATGCCATGACAGCATATTTAAAGTCTTACCCCAAAAAGTAATACTCCTTTGATAGGTTTTCGTGCTTTAATAAACAAGTATGGACACTTTATTGGGAAAATGACACAATCTATCAAATCATTCTTAGCTTCTTCCAGGCCAACCACATCTGACCACTTCACACAAGGCTTTTCTACCATTATGGCTTTTTCCAGCTCGGTCTGTAACTCCTTTTCGTAATTATTCCTGGAGAGAAAAAAATCAATAAGTTATAAGAGAGAAAGAACAATTTTTCTGTGACAAACAGTTGTACGGAGGATCTTGTGTTCTGCTGACCAGGTTAGACTGGCTGTTCCAGAATCAAAATACCCGCACAACTGCAAAACTTAAACATAAATATTACAGTCTTGCATCCAGAAATATTAATACATTGATACTTAAAACAGAAGGTTTCACCTACATTGAATCACTTTCTCCAGTCTTCAAACGCTTGATGTCTTCTGTCCTTAAGACCGCCCTTTTTTTCGTCCCTCGAGCTTCACCTGCAACATTTACATTGGACTCCTGCATATTTTTGTTTGCATCAGTTGTGAGTTTTGCCAGAAAATCCTCCTAAGCCCTAATCGATATGGCACAGTACAGTTAAAGTTGCCTCTGTGCATAAGGATCATGTCGTGCAAGCATACAGGGCCTTGGAGGTCAAGCTCCTTACATTCTAGACCTGAACAGTAAACAGTGGTTAGTAGTCAGCTTCATGGCGCAGCCACTTTACTTCCAGGATCCAATGGAAAGGGTACTTTGTGGGCAGATTTAGAGAGAGAAGAGAAAATTCCAGCCCCTGCCAACGCTCTGGCTGCAATGTTATCAACCTGCACAATAGTCTCTAGGTAACCATTGTTATCGGATCTTACACATTTTCCTGTCACTTTTTCGTAACACTTTTTTGCGGAATGACACTGACCCTTCCATATAGACGTATTTACGTCAAAAAATGTTATGTCATTTGTTTACTCTGTATTGTTGTTTTGGTATATTGCCTTCAACAATCCCCTTCCGTTATTACTCATAGTATTTTAACAGACAATAAGTCTTTATCGAATAATATATCGAAGATTGGCAAGGGTGGAGTTGGACGTAGAAGGTTCACTGACGGTTGGCCTCTGAACAGCGTCGTAAAGAAATAGAATATCAGATAGAGACAGCGCTCCGGAAGGAGCGCGTTGCTCTAGTATATTATATTAAAAAAAATTGTGATTTGTCGTCGTCAAAGAAATTTGTAGCCAACAAATGTCATCAAACAATGTCACCTTATATTTGTTTACTCGGCATTGTTGTGTTGGTATACCAACACAACAATGCCGAGTAAACAAATGACGCTTCACAACGACGAGATCAACAACTACTAAGACAGTCGCATTATTTGAAGTACCAACACCAACAATAATAATAGTTTAGTGTCTTACTCAAGATTTTAAAACGCAACCAACCTCCCCGAAGGGGGTCAAGTGTTTTAACCCCCTTCCTTTCATTGTATGTCGATTAAACAGATGAGGAGCTCCGAACAAAAACTGTTAGACGAAAGGAGCGTTCTGCTCTAGTCTTATTAAAAATTACTCAGTATTTACAATGTGACATGAAGTAACCCAAAGTTCAAATTCAAACCGTGCTTAAAAGGAAAATAAGAAAGCCATTGAGTAGAAGTGAGAGGAAGAGGCAATGAGGCATTTACAAACCATATCCACCAATAATACTATTATAACAAAATAAAACTGAACGTAGCATAATGGAAACTGAGAGTAAGAACTGTGATTACAAGGTTCACAAACAATTACATTATAGAATCTAGGAGAACCATAGTGAACAGCCGAATTTAAAACATCCATTAATCACGACATTCTTTTCTACCTATCTTTCTGGATGTTATAACCATCACTATGGCCAAAAATTATGAGTAATCAGTTCAGCTGGCTATAAAATACGCAGAACTTAAAAAGGATGGGGGAGGACGACTTTGATACGTACAGCATTTATTCTATTTATGCTATTCCTACAGTATGCCACCATTAATCCCATCCAATGGACAATATGAAGCCTCGTAAAGTGCAAGACACTTTTCCACTCACACATCTGACTGCTGATCAATCCCCGAATTCTGATCTACATCGAGTCCCATAAATTTCTTTTGGGTCTTAAAAATACTTGAACATTTTAAGACTGTCTCAAAACTTTATATTAATAAACTGTAAATTTGTCTCAACATACATTTTGCTATGGCAGACTCAAAGCTTTTTACAGCTTCATCATACTTACTTATCTTTTCATTGCGGGTTCTGCTTTTGGCACCCCGCCTTACGTATTTTACACACTTCCGTGCTCTCTGCGGGAAAAAAGATAAAAGAAAGAACCTCTGGTAAACATTTTCCAAACTTGACAGTGATGAATAATAACCACTCGCAGAAATTAACATATAAGAGAGAGAATCTTTTTACGTAAACAAGAGTTACACATACAATGCCCCTTAATAACAGCGTTAGTGCAACATATCAGATATACAGGTGGCTTTGTAGCTCAGTTAAAATATTATACGGCTGAAACTCTTGTTCTTTCACTATTAAAATTTCAACACTGGCACACCCAACCAAGTTGGGTTGTAGTTAAAAGAGCAGTAATGAACCTTTGCTTTCCACAAAGCGTAGAGAATGTTTTACCAGCTAAGTAGGCATCAGTTCCTCATGAAAACCCCTGCAGTACAGAATGAAACAGTTCCACATTAATGTGAAATGAAAGTCACATTCAAAGTACATTCACTCCATTCATAAACGTGTAACTGAATTTTATTTAACCTTTACTTAAAAATCAAACAAAATCTTACCTCATATTCAGTGTTGTTTGCCATTCCACAAGTCAGTAAGTTCTAAAAATAATCAAGAAAGCAAAAATTAATTTATATTAGCATGTAAAATTACCTGTTATATTGCATAATATTTTTTAATAAAATAAACCTTGGTAGTTATCAAACATGGCAGGACAGCAATACGAAATTAAAGGACATATTAAGATTGACTCTTGCGATGGAAAACCATGACTGATATATGGTGCATAAATTCTAAATCTCAAATACTACATGAAGACAAGTGGTCAGTTTGATATTTCATATCACTTGCTGTTAATCTTTACCCCAAGACATAATTATGAAATCTTCTGGAGATCCCCATCAGGAGAAATACAGGATCCTGAAAAATGTCCATGTTGCATGTTAAAATGTAAAAATCCACACAGTGAACTCGTGTTTATCTTCAGACACTGGAAAAGTTTTCAATATCCATGTGAACAATAGCAGTATTACCATTATAACCATGAGTGTCATCGATCACAAGCAACTGCCATGAATCTGCTCAAGGTAAAGATAACGCCTGTACTCCAATACTGACACAGACCACTTTAGAGAAAGTAACTTGGAAGTGTGGGAAGGCACAAAAGCATAATTATGAAAAACTGCACTCCTCATGGAGGAATCTGACACAGGCTTATGGTGCCATCTATCTAACTAACTAACTAGATGGCTTACCGAACCCGAAGTTCATCACCGAATTAACCAAAGCCCTCCACCAGACCCTGTCCTGGGCTAACAAAATCCAGTTTCCTTCAACTCCTATCTCCCATAGATCTCGCCTGAGATTATCCTCCCATCTACGTCTAAGTCTCCCCAGTGGTCTCTTCCCCTCAGGCTTCCCAACCAGTACCCGGTGCACACCTCTTGTCCCATCCAAGCGCGCTACATGCCCCGCCCATCTCATTCTCGACTTAATCACCCTGACAATACTGGGGGAGGAGTACAGATTTTTAAGCTCATCATTATGCAGTTTTCTCCACGCCCCATCGTCTTCTCTCGTAGGCCCAAATATCCTCCTCAACACCCTGTTCTCGAACACCTGCAATGTGTGTTCCTTCCTCTGAATGAGAGACCATGTTTCGCACCCATATAAAACAACAGGCAAGATTATTGTTTTGTATACTTTAATTTTCAGGTTCTTGGTTCATCTTAATGATATCCTCCCATATATACAGAGGTCTTCTTAGAGGTCTCCTCCCTTGAGGCCTCCCAACCAATTACTACCCACCTCACCCCAACAACATCGGGTGAGAGAACAGGCCGTGGAGCTCGTCATGCACTTTTCTCAATTATCTGTCTCACTCCAGTTTTAGGTCCAAATAACTTCCTCAAAAATCTGTTCTCAGTCTATGTTTCTCCCTCAATGTGAAAGACCACGTTTTGCACCCATACAGCACAACTGGCAAAATTACGCTTTGGTTCATTTTAATCTTAATTTTCTTTTGGTATGAGACTGGAGGACAAAAGATTTTGCACTCAATAATAGCAAGTATTCTCCGGATTTAATGTGCTGTTGTAGGGAGATAATAAGAGAGATTCGTCGATAATTAGACTTGTAAAACAGAAATAATAATTCTTCACAGTTCCCTAAAACGCTTTAATAATGTCGATGTATGAAGAGATGAAAAGTGTTAGAATTATTATTCAGAATATGTACTCCACTTCTTAACATCCATATATTTTTAGTACGATGCTGGGCTACGAAAATCGTTTTATTCCTTTAAAACAATAAAATATTAATCGCCTAATGGAATATTGTTTTACTATCAATGGTGCCGTGAACAAACAGGAGTCAATCTAATATTACTTGAAATTGCGTTAAAAAGAAAGCAAGCCTAATTTTCTTACACGAGTGCAGAAGATAACACGTAAATGTGATTAATAACAATAATAATAAATAGGAATTACTTACGTCAAACTTCTTTCAATAGTAGGAGACCACGATGTCCACTGGAAATGATCAGTTCAATAAAAAATAAAATGGAGAGGGTGGAGGGCAGTATCACAGATTTCTTAATAATTCTTATATAAGAAAATTGATATTCTAAAAGGCTTTCAACATCACAAAATTATCTAGTATACGACGCACTTCTTCTACAAGCGATTAACAGCTCAGCTCTTTCCGCATTAAAGAAAGCGGATTGTTAAAGGCAGTAATATAACACAACAATGCCGAGTAAACAGATGACGTAACAATTAGTTTCATAGGTAAAGGAATGGAGTGCAAAACGGTTCATTCAGGCAATTATACTGCATGCCTTACGGCATGCTCAGCCAATATTGTTGCAGATGTGGGTATGAAATTTTAAAACTTTTTCTTTCATTGTTATACACGCAGGAGTTCATAGTATAAAAGCTGACCATTGTCGGTCCATATTTACA